CCGCCCTCCCCCTCCCCAAACCAGGGCAGTGCTACAGACTGAAGTGTCTTTAGACCATTTCCTCTACTTCTTTTGTATGTTTCTCACTCTCTTGTGAACCTGCTATTTCTGGGGTGCCTTGATAGTCGAAGCAGACTTTGTGCAATTGAGGCTAGAGAGGTGAGCAGAGTAAGGCTGGTTGGCTCTCATATGACCTTTTGAGGTTGCGAGCTCCGTAAAACCTCTACTATAACTAACTAAACTAAGAGTAATCCTGATTCCCCGTTTTGACTTCTCTGTTGATATCCACCTTTTGGCGCTCATTATAATGAACGTATGCAGCTGCAAGCGCCGTAAAACCTTACTAATAAAACTACACTAAACCCCCCCAGGTGTGTCTCAGCTACACAGCCAGTCTCTGTACAACCTGCCGGGAGAGAGGCGGAGCTGCGCCGAGATCCCGCTCCACCACGCCCCACCCCCTCCCTACGACGTGAGAGCCCGATCTCAGGATGACTCAGCCCTCATGGCGGCGTCACGTGACCGGCACCACAGGACAGGCGGAGGACACCCGCACAACGCCCTCCTCCACCCCACCGGCAGCACCAGCGCCATCAGCAGCAGCGGTGCCTACTTCGAGCCCGTCACGCATGGGCAGACAGGGTCACGTGACCCGCGGTCTGGAGGGATCTACGAGAGCATCAAGGAGAGGACGGAGCCGGAGAACTCTCTCTCCTCCTCCTCCGATGACCCGGAAAGCGTTCCGGGGCCTAAACCGCGGATGCGCCGTTCCGGAGCGGGGGGAGTGACGTCTTCAACGTCGTCGAAAACACGACGTGACGTCCCAGCTATGGGCAGCAGCTCCCGGGATTACGTCAAAGATTCGTCGTCTGCCATATTCCCGCCTCCCTCCATCCCTGGCGGCCAGGGTAACGGTGTCGTTGTCGTTGGCGGGCGGTCAAGCCCCAGCGTCACGCCCTTCTCTCTCATCTCCTCTTCGGCGTCCATGCAGAGCCCGGTGGGCGAGCCGTACAGCCCACGGGACTCGGGGATCCTCGACGACCGCTCGTCCAGCCACGGGAACTCGCTCGAGGGCAGCATCAACATCACCACAGACGGAAACAGTAACATTAACGGTAACGGTAACGGTGGCGTCACCGGTAACGCTGCTGCCAGTTCCGGGGCTGGTCTCGGTGGGGGTTCTTCTGGTTTGCAGAATAATACAAACTATAACAACGGTAATAATAACAATAATAACAATGGTGCTTCTAATTCGTCCCGACCGCGATTCAGCGCTGGCAGCGGTAGTGGTAGCCTTTCGTTGACGGATGTAAAGACGTCAGATTTTCAGCTTCATCAACAGCAGCAGCAGCAACAGCAGAGACTAGGGATGTCTGGAGGTGGTCAGTTGGGCTACCATTTGGACAGGGGCGGTGCACTGACCGCTTCCGGCCGCTCGTCGCGTCAGAAGGTGCCCAACAGCCAGTTCTACAGCCGAGAAAACAGCCAGGGAGAGCTGCAGGTGCGGAAGAGGTCGCGGGGAGAGAGAGACAGGCTGAGGCATATGAGACAAGGTGAGTGTTTCCATGGATACAATCCGCCATATTGGACTGTGTTATTTTGGGATTGGGCGGTGAGTGGG